GGGATGCCATGGAAGAGGCACACACATATTCCAAAGCCCAGGGCACCGCAGCCCCTTTCACCATTCATCTGTGTCTCACAACTCCACACTGAAGCATTTCCTCCTTTTTCAGCTGCAGGTGCCTCCAACTGAAGATACACAGCTAAAGAGCTGTGGAAAGCAGAAGCTGCTAGTTCCTACGCAGTATATTTTTATTTGCATTACTAACCAGATATGCTTCTTCCATAGCACTGACAGCAATGCTAAAATCCCTAAGGACCCATTAAAATCCAAAGAGCCAGGAAGTCAATGTACTTAAATGCAGCACAGCTTAGTTACCTTTGTTACCTTTTTTACAGCGTTTTAAGAAGCAGAAAGGACGCACAGTGAGAGGAAAAACTGTAATCCATGCCTCATGAAGAGATAAGATAAGGCTGAACCTTTTTTTTTTTCTAATATACACTTCCACTGATATGAGATAATGTATTTCTTCAGTCTGCACTTGCACAACCAAAGCTCTTCTGAAAGCAAACTCCCTTCCTCATCATACTTCTTCTGTGGCACCATCTCAGACTGTTTAACATGATGCAATGACAGATCATGAGAACTGCTTCTTCTGGGCAAGTCACTCATGCTTCTCAGCCTCGAATGCACCTTCGCCCAGTTTACTGGGGAAAAAAATGCAATGCAGCAAAACAGCAGCAGATAAGAAACAGTAAAGCAGAAGAGGGGTTTCAGCTCCAACAGCCACCTCAGCAGCTGCTGGAATTCTCCATCAGAATATAATACATGGGTCAAGGACATATTATAGTCACATAACAGAGACAGTCTCTGAGGATTCTGCAAGGCAAGTGCTAAGGGTGCCATAGGGCAGCCCCTCCCAGCAGAAACACTGCTGTCATTCATTTCACAGAATCACAGAATGGCCAGGGTTGGAAGGGACCTCAAGGATCATGAATCTCCAACCCCCCTGCCACACGCAGGGCCACCAACCTCCTCATCTAATGCTAGACCAGGCTGCCCAGGGCACCGTCTAATCTGCCTTGAACACCTCCAGGGAGGGGGCATCCACAACCTCTCTGGGCAGCCTGTTCCAGTACCTCACCACTCTCTCTGTAAAGAACTTCCCCCTGACGTCCAACCTAAATCTCCCCTCCCTCAACTTAAAACCATTTCCCCTTGTCCTGCAGTTATCTACTCTTTCAAAGAGTTGATTCTCCTCCTGTTTGTAGGCTCCCTTTAGGTACTGAAAGGCTGCAATGAGGTCACCCCACAGCCTTCTTTTCTCCAGGCTGAACAAGCCCAGCTCCTTCAGCCTGTCCTCATAGGGGAGGTGCTCCAGTCCCCTGATCATCTTTGTGGCCCTCCTCTGGACCCTCTCCAACAGCTCCCTGTCTTTTTTGTACTGGGGGCTCCACACTCGGACACAGTTGGTTTCACTCCCCTGCAACCTCCACAGAGCAAAACCCAAAAGCCAGCTGCTTCTGTGAGGAAAAAGAGAGAGCTGCTTTTGATGCCTGGCTGGGAAGGGAGCACCAGGTTAAATGAGTAGGAAAAGTTCATTTCAGATTCCAGTGCTCATTTACTGAAGCTTAGGCATTCCTAGGAAAGCCACGTCACTACTTGGTCAGCACGTCCTCCCACACAGAGCCACGGCCAGGATCTCAGAGAGCTGGCCACACAGCACTCCCTGTCATCTGAGCGCCCTGATGCACCCTGTCATCTTTGCTGGAAGAGAAAGGAGCCAGGACCAAAAAATGCCACCTCTAACTGCTGCTGCTACCAGCTCTTCTTAGCTCTTTGGTAAAATCTTCTCTATGCTAATAGCTAAAATCCCAGAAAATGCAGGGCCAGACTACAGAGATGTGAGCTAGATCACCACTTGTTTCTATCCCTAGCAGGAATCAGATCTCATGTGAAGAGATGGGAAGCCCCCCAGCAGGCTGGGAAGAACCAGAGAGATCTAGAAATCTGCTTGAAGAAAGGAATCCCACCAGACATGCTCCATTCTCACAACACTTCCTGGAATTTCAGATGGTGCTTAACCTGAAGGGCAACAGTACAGAAGAGTATTAGCAGTGAGGCAAACAGCAGCACACACTCAGCACACAGGGCAATGCAGACCCCAAAAATAGCAATTGCTATTCAGATGTTGCAGAGCTGATTATTCACAGAAGCCCACCGCAGCCCAACCCCTGAAGATTCTTCCTCCCATTTCAAAACAAGAGGAAAAGACCTGCCAAGAAAGAGCACTTCCTTGAATTTCATTCATGCCTTATCATGCATTTTGCACAAATTAAAAGGCCTCACTTCATCACTGCTAGACAAGAGATAAGAGAATGCTAGTCTCTTATCTGCTGTTGTTTGGCTGCAGTGCATTTCTTCCCCAGTAAACATGGCAAAGGTGCATTCAGGGCTGAGAAGCTGTGAATGACTCGCCCAGAGATGCAATACACATGTAGCATCTACAAACTGCCTCAGGATGTTTTCTTTACAGAAGTCCTAAATCACTGTACAAGGCCAGACTCTACCAGAAGATGCTGCTGCATCATTTTTCCCACAGGCAGAGATGAATATGAAACAGAAGGTTTCTTTATTTCCAGCTCATCACCAGCTTTTATCAACTCCTGCTAGAAAAATGAAGAGTCAAAATTACAGCAGAAAAATCATCCAACCCTTACCCCAAGTCCAACAGCTGCTTGCTTCCATTAGACAGAATGGCAAGAGCCAGGAAGATGACTTATTTCAATTAAAAAAACAAGTATCAACAGCGGTAGTGGAGCAATAGAAAATTTTCCATGTGCTGCTGATGCCCATTGCTTATCAGGGAGACAGGGCAATGAGTTTGAAACGCTCCTACAGCCAACAGGCCCAAGCAAGCACAGCACACAAAGAGCTGAGGAATTCCAGTACCTGCCCAGCTGGCTCCAGCTGATACACCTTAAAAAGCCACAGGAATTCAACTCATTGCTTAAACATCCCCACTGTGGTGGGGATTAGTGCCATCATGCCACAGCACCATGCCTCATCCCCAAAAGATAGCAAAGCAAGTATTTTAAGGGAAGGGTCAAGGCCTGCTGCCTGCTCCAGCAAGTATGTCCTGCGAACACTAGCATCTCAGAAGAGCATAGATAATCATCTGCCATATTGCAATTACAAACCCACCATATTATGCCCTTCACTGACACTCCCTAAAATACACTCTAATAGCAGATTAAGGAAAAAGAAAGCCTCTATTTCTTCCTCCATCCAACATCACCCCCTAACAAAACAGCCGCTTTTTATTCACTGGATCTTTGATCTGAGGGAATGAAATGAATAGGTGCTCCCTCTGGAGTATGCTCTGCCTTTAGTCATTGCCCTTTCTTGTTCCTCTGATTCTCTAAAAGGAAAGCCTGGGTTTACAAGCAAGAGCTAATTACTGGCCTGTGGTCTCACTGATGTCAGGTCAACCCCCAGAGGAGGACCAAAGCATCCAGCCAAAGTTTGCCTTTCCCAACCACCAGACTAATGTGCTGCTTTTAGGACGATGTGGACTCCGCCTACACATATAGCACATGCTGAATGCCACACTGTTTGGATTTCTTGTGCACACTGTTGAGTAATTCCACCTGAATAAAAGTCTGACAGCAAAATGTTCCGTTACTTATTTACTCCTAAATCAGCAGCATTTATGCCAAATTAGGTGCCTTCAACTCTGAAGATTCATTTAAAACACAAAAAAAGCAGCCCATGACTGTGATAAGAGTGAACAGAAAAGCTTAGATCCACTCAGAGAAAGTGTGCTTTCTCTTTCCTAAAGCTGCAAGTCAGTCTGCCTAGTGCTGCTGCACAAACTTCAGATTGTCACCCCCCAGCACTCACTCTTCGCCACAGCATTATCTCAGTCTCTCCAGGAGGGTGTGTGGAAAGGAGACCTCAGATCTCACTGATAATTTTACAGCAGTAGGAAGAACCATGCTTTAGAAGCTGTCTGGACAGAGAAAGCGATTTCAATTGGAGTGCTGCCCACCCACAGCTTGAGCCAGTCAGCTGAAGGCAGTCACGCAGAGAGGAGTATTGCATTTTGAAGTCAGGGGAACAGGTCCAGCCACACAGCAAATGTCAGACTCCTCTTCCTCTTCCCTGTGTCAACATGACAGAGCTGGAACCACTTCCCTCGTGCCACACTACATCAGTATCAGCCCACCTGCCTCATGCAGCAGGAATCAGTGGGCGTTCCAGTGCAAGGGTCAGCGTGTCATTTCACTAATCCTTTCAAAACTGTGAAAAAATTACCGCGTCTGAGCGTCAGCTGACATTGAGGAAAAACACGGAACAGCCTGAGCCAGTGCGGGTCACCTGCCTCCCTGATCCATCCTCAGAGAGGGGAGCTGGGGGACCTTACCTTCTCCTGGACGAAAGTTGGCTCCCCCTCAAAGCAACTGTTTGTGCAAATCCTGTGCCTTACTTTTAAGAATCAGGAAGGTTTGTTAGAGACCTTTTCCTCGGGGAAATAAGCCATAAGTACAGCTCACCTCCTTCATCCCATTTAGTAGCCAGGAGGAGAGGGAAACCGCCGCACAAAATCGCAACACAGCCACAGTTTAGGGAATCACAGAAAGGCTTGGATTGGAGGAACCTCAAAGCCCACCCAGTCCCAAGCTGCACTGTGTGCAGGGCTGCCCCCACCAGCTCAGGCTGCCCAGGGTCCCATCCAGCCTGGCCTTCAGCACCTCCAGGAATGGAGCACCACAGCTTCTCTGGGCAGCCCATGCCAGGGCCTATTGCCTTCCGAGTAAAAAATTTGTCCCAGTATCTAACTAATCTCCCATTTTAAAGCCATTACTCCTTGTCCAATCACCATCTGTCAGTGTAAAAAGTCAGACCCTCCCCCCCCCCTCCGTGTGGATGGCTCTTACTTGGCTCCTCTCTCCTTGAGGAACGACACCCGGGCCCTGCATATCCCCTCCCCTTAGCACCCAGGTCCCCGCGGCCAGGCACGTGACCCCCTGCCCCTCCAGGTGGCAGCCACCAGTTACCTGGTTCCCGAAGACGGCAATGGAGCAGGCCGTGGACACCTCGCGGGAGCTGAACCAGACAGAGGCGATGCGCGAGGGCATGCCCAGGATAAAGACCTGCGCCAGGGAGCAGACCACCTGCCCCAGCACGGTGACAGGGAAGAGCTGCGGCCGCAGGCTGCCCAGCTTCACCCAGGAGCCCAGCGCGTTGAGGGCCGAGCCCAGCAGGGCAATGAGGCGCAGCCCCTTCTTGTCCAGCAGCCAGGCCACGGGGAAGAGCAGCGGGATGTAGGCGAGCATGTAGCTCATGGACAGCCAGTCGATGGCAAAGGTGCTCACGCCATAGAAGCGCACGAAGACGTTGTTGATGCTGCCGTACTGGATCCACTGGAAGGCGTTGCACAGGGAGTAGCTGCTGAAGAGCAGCACCACGACCCAGCGCCGCCAGGACAACCGCACCTCGGCGGCAACCACGGCGGCAACCTCTGCCCCGCGCCCGGCCCCGCGAGGCTCCGGCGCCCCGCCGCCCTCCTGCCGCACCATGCCGGCCCCGCGAGGCTCCGCGCCGCCGGCACCCCCGGCCCAGCGGCCGAGCACCTGGCCGGGAAACCCCGCCCTGCCGCCCCCGCCGCGCTGACTGGCTGCCGCCGCCCCTCGGCCCGGCCCGGCGCGGCCCTCCCCTCCACCGCCCGGCGCACCGCCCCTCGGCAGGGCGGCTCCGGGCGAGGGGAAGCGGCGCGGAGGCCGAGGGCGCCGGGTGGTGGCGGTGCGTCGGCGGCGGCGGTGCGGGACGCCGTTACCGGCCGTGCCCCAGCGGCGGGCAGCCCCAGCGGGGCGAGCGTGCGTGAGCGCTCAGCGCTGCCGTCTGTGCTGGCAGACCCCGTCCGAAAGTTGAGGTGCCCGTGCGAGGCGAAGACCTCGAGGGGCCCGACGGCGCTGCGCGACAGCACGGATGCTCGTCTGGGGGCAAATCCCGCATAAGGCAGGCGGACCCCGGGCGCAGGGGCTGCAGCCGAGCGCTGTGGTGGGGAGAACTTTGGTGGAAGAAGGTCGTGGGGTGTGCGTTAGGGCCTGGTGCCAGAGAGACCTCTGTGGGCACGGATAACCAGGAATTGTGAAGGGACAGAACCACAGGATCATAGAGTTGCTCGGGTTGGAAAAGACCTTAAAGATCACAGTGTCCAACCACAACCTAACCATACTACCCTAACTCTAACACAGCCCTCCGCCAGATGATGTCCCTGAGCACCACATCCAAACAGTTTTTAAGCATGTTCAGGGATGGTGACTCAACCGCTCCCCTGGGGAGCCTATTCCAGCGCTTAAAACACCCTTTCTGTAAAGAAGTGTTTCCTGATATCCAACCTAAATCTCCCCTGGCGCACCTTGAGGCCATTTCCCCAGTCCTGCTAACTGTCACCAGTGAGAAGAGACCAACACTGCTCTCGCTGCAATCGCCTTTCAGATATTTGAAGAGAGCAATAATGTCTCCCCTCAGCCTCCTCTTCCCCAGATTAACCAGCCCCAGTTCCTCTGGTTGCTCCTTGTAGGGCACTTGGGGGATGAAGCACTTTTATTTTTCTCTTGGGGTGGCTTTCTGCATGTTTTCATGCTGTGGCACGCTATGAGATGAAAACGTGCAGTGAGGTCAGAATTGAAATGTGCCAATTGGATTGAAGCAAAACAGCCCAAAGTGGTGTTTGTTTTCATCCTCACCAGGCACTCGGTGAGTCAGCCCATGTTTTCCAGTTACTTCAGCAGCTTGTCACTCTGGCAGATTGCTGCCCACAGATCACTTACGATCTATAGTTCATTGAGTTGATATTGTGTTATCTGAATCACGTGAACGTTACTCAGCACAAGCTTTACAAGTGTGGACTTGGTTGTGTGCTAGTGTTCAACTCCCCAGCATTAAACAAGCAGCTCCAACTTCACTTGAAAAAATGTGACATTGTATTCCTGAAACAAAGGCTTAGGTCACAGGTGAGAAGGTGATGTTTCTTTGGCTAGTATTTACTTTGTGGATCACTAAGGCTTTTAGACCCATTTATTGTTAGGTTAAACTTCCAAAGTCACACCAGGATCTCAACTAAGACAGAAGAAATGACAGATAAATTTGTTCTAATAAATGTGTATAACTTAAATTTATCAGGAGTGCAATGAGTGATAGTGATGGAGAGAGCACAGAAGTGAAATGGAAGAGGAAGAGGACTGCTGTGGCCCAATAGCTCCTTAGTCTGAGAACTCTTAGCATACAACGGTAAAATAGTATAGAAAATTAACCTTTATGTTCATCCAATCTCTACAAGATTCCTAATGATACTGTAAAGGAATCAAAGTTACCCAGATGTAATGGCTCACATCAGTTAAAGACTGTTAAAAAAAAAAAAAAATCAAGAACAGAAATAAATGGGCAATTTTTAGCACAACATACTGGGTTTGCTCAGAGGAGTGTCATTTGTTAATAATCCTGAAAGCAGAGGGAGGAGCAAAATTTGCAGATGGTGAGGCATTATTTTTGTGTTGCTCAAGACTAATTTAAATGTCACATACATTTTTTATTTAGGTCATACAACTTTAGGACTGTAGCTTTAGCCACCCATAACTGTGTTGCATGATTCATGTGTAAACCAGGATAAATCCAGAATAGTGGAGTGATGTCCCTTATGGAAATCTGCTGCAGACAAAAAGCTCTTGGCAGCAGAAAGGAGGAAGTGACCATCTGGGGTTGAACATTGTTTTCAGGCTTGGGTCACAGAAATGAGAGGGAAAAAGTGGAAAGAGTGTAATGAGAAAAATGAGCTGAGACGCTGTCATACATTCGGAATACACTGAGGACAGGCATATTCCTTCACATGGCTAAAGAAGAAAAAGGGCACAAGCAGAAAAAGCTGTAGATATATGAAGGGAATAAGAAATAACTTTGGTCCTCTTCCTCCTGCCAACCCTATTCCAAAGCACAGTCAGAAACATTCTGTCATCTCCAGTTCCCTTCTAGTCCCACTTCCAGCTCCAGATTTTCTCCCTGAACTCCTCAGTTTCACCAATCCATCACCAACAGAACATTCGGAGCAGAGCTTGCCAACCAGGGAGCCTCTTACTCACAGCAGAGCACTGTCTTTGTCCCATCAGAAGAGCCAAACAGTAAATTAAGAATGACTGAAACACAGACCGTAATGAAAATAGTGGCTGAAAGCAGAAGAATGAAGGCAGCACTCAGACCCTGGTTACTGGGGACTGTCAAGTCAGGCAGCCCCGAATCCCCCACAGATTATTTAGTCCATATTTCTCATCAGTACAGGCTCACATTTCCCAGAACCCCTCTCTTCCGTTGTCAGGGCTGCTTGGTTTTGTGTTTCTGGTTCTGTGAACTCTTCAATCACCCCTTTATATCATTAGCCAATTTCTGGACAAAAATAAAACTCCTGTGCTTTGCATTTCTTCCCCTCTTCACTTCTGCATCTGTTTCTACTCAGATAAACCTCGTTTTCTTCTTGAAGCAGCACAGCAGCTGCCTTTGGATTTCCCTAATCACAGCATCTTATGTAAAAACTTCTTAGCCATGAAAAATTATTTATATTTCAGGACAACCCCTTGAAGAAGATTTGAAAGGGAAATGGATTTAGAGGGAAATCTCCTACGCAGGGAAGTTGACACAAGTATTAAGAGAGGTTGCAATATTCTGTAGCCAAAAATATCTGTGAAGGTTGGAAAACACTAAGCAAAAGGCAGTCAAGTCCCAAATTAAGGGTAACAATGCAGTCCATTGGGTAGAGCCTGGCATCTCTAGGGTCTCTTCTGACCTCAAAGAAAGAACTTCTGGCATGCTTAGAATATACTCTGCCTTGCTAACCAGTGAGTATGTGAAGCTTACATTCTGTAAGGACCAAAGAAAATGCTTTGGAACAAGCTTAGTTTTCTCAATAAATGTAACTCTAGGGATGATGGCGGCAGTGATAATTCATCTGAAGAGCAATTGCTTGATGCTTTTTCCCTTCTGCATTGAATCAGAGGCCCAGAGAGGAGGTAGTCGAAAGGTGAAGGCTGGCGAGGGGAAAAGTGAGTGCTTAGGGATAGCATCATAGAATGGCTTAGGTTGGAAGGGACCTTAAATATTATCTAGTTCCAACCCCCAAGATCCACTGGACTTCCCAACTGGGAAGTTCCTGCAGAGATTTCAGAAGAAGGTCAGGCTCATTTTAAATAGGAAGCATGCACATTCATGTAGGACGTCTATTGCTCTCAAACTCCCAGCAATGATTTTTGCCTCTAAAATCTTATCACTGCACTTAAAAGATTTAACTAGCACAGTTCTTAGGAGGCCTTATTGCACCCTGACTGATGGGATTACAGTCTAGAAATGATACCAGAAGATTTTCCAGTCTATCTCACACTGCCTTTCACAGAAGGGAAGATTACAAGACTGCTGTTGCTACAGGTAAGGTAAGCATTAAACTTCTCAGAAGAAAGAAAGGAGAAAGAAAGCTGGGTGGCACATCAGTTTGGACTGGTGACAGTGGCTAAGGAATACATTTGAAGGCATTTCAGCCTGGAAATTGCAGACAGAGAAGTATGGATTCACCAGTACATTGCAGCAATCCCTTCCAGAGCAGCACGCAGAGGGATAACGTTTCGTGCTGGGTTCCACGCCCAGTGCTTTAGTGGTAGTCTTCAGCAAACAGCCACTTGTATCACCAGAGCAAGCGGCAACCCTCACACCGCCATGGTGTCCCAGCGCTGCGGCACAGGGCAGCTGGCAGCGCGGGGTGCTCAGCGGGATGCCGGGGTGGCCGTGCGCGACAAAGGCAGCCTTGTTCCCCGATGGAGCGGGGCGGGCTGCGAGCCCTCTGCTGGCACTCGCAGCTGCCTGCATCCCGGCAGCCTCCTGAAAGCAGGGCCCGGGGCGCAGTTTACAAATACCGTTAATTATTTTGATTCCCTAAACCTTTATGAATCTTTCCCGTTATATTTCGCATGTATAGATCTGGGGACACGGCGATGGATAGCCACATTTATAAAACTGCAGCGTGCAGGCCCTGCAGCTTTCAAAACTGCAAAATTTTCCTCTTCACAAAGTGCAATGGCTTGGCTGCGCAATCTAGTATCTCATTCAGAGAGGAGTGCAGACCTCAGAATGACCAAAGCTGTTCAGGGAATAACTGCAAGCCTCAAAAAGCCCTGGTTCCTCAGATATGCTGATCGCTGCTTAGCGCACGGTGTGTCACGGTACCTCTGCACAGCCTTCTGCAACAGCTGTCAGCTTGCTCTGCCTGCTCTCTGATCTGGATGGATGAGAACCGGCTCTAATCCAAGAGATGTGGTTAGCATGCTGCACTGCTTCAGCTTCTAAGCCCATCTCTCAACCTCTGTTTGCAAAAGGCTGCAGGGACAGACGTAGCATTGAGGACAGCTGGGCAGAGCCTCTGTGGCTCTGTCACTGGAGCCACTGCCTGTCTCCTTTGCTGTGCACCAGGCACGCACGTGCAGCCTGAGCTTCACTTCACCCTGTGCAGAATAGAAGAAAAAAGAGACAGCAAGACTCAAAACTCAGCCACGGTCTAGATTTACATCCCCAGTCCAGATCAGGGTCACAGATTAACCCCAAATACCAAATGCTCAAAGTATAGGAGCCCTTCTTACTCAGCATCCTCCAGCCTCATCGCAGTGAGTCATACCAATGACAGAAAAAAAGAAGATTTTCATCTCCTAATGCTTACAACTGGCATTAGTTAGTTGATAATCAAAGAGTGCTGGAAACATGTATGGCTCAGTGCCAAACTCAGGCATGCTCTTCTTCCTCCACTTCAGCAAAAAAGAGAAAGGACAAGGACAGGAGCCGGGGTACCACACCATCACTGTTGTGGGGAGAGAAAACTTGGCTGGGTCTTAGGAGTCCTAAGTTGGGTGTATGAATTCCCTACAGTTTGGTAGGTGTCTGGTTAACCTGAACAACCTTACATGTACAAATGTTGCTGCATCAGTGCTCAGATCCCCTGTAAAGCATTAATAAATAAAATGGCAACACATGGCAGAGCAGGGACATGGGGCATGCTGGCACTGTGCTGTTTTCTAGGAAAGAGTCTCACCTTTTCACTCTACACTTTGCTTTTTCTCTTCTCTACAGTTCTTGATTCATAAAAATACTTTGTCTCTCAGCAGTGATTCCTGATCTTCTTTGATCTCTGTGTACTGAAACACTAGCATCCATTCTGCACCCCTGTGTGACAAATGTTGCTTTGGAAAACATACTCATTGCTTCCATGGGCTGTTGCAGGTTCAGTGTGCAGGAGATGCTCCACCTGCTGATGCAGGCTGGCAGCACCAATACTTTAGAGAGAGGCTTTTCAAAAGGAGCTTATAAATACTCTGGAGTCACTGCAAAGTGGGCAGCACAGCTACTGAACCTGTCCTTGGCCAAACTGAAAGCATGTGCCCCTCATTCTCTTCTGACTCCTTGCAAAGGGAGCTTGAGTATCATGCCTTCTGCCCCCTGAGAGAATCAGTTCTGAGGAAGGACATCACAGTGACTACAGCTGGGAACAGACCAGTCTGGTGCAACAGAATGGATGCACCTGCCTTGGGCTGGCTCTGCTCCTCCTCACCTCGACGCCTACATGTTGGGAACCTGCAGCCCAGCTGAGGAAGATGGAGCAGGAAGGGAATGCCAGGCATAAAAGATTGCCTTGGGCTTCCCATCTGCGAGATACATGCAGCTTACGTCAGCACCGGGTGTCGTGTTTTTATTTATCTAACCACAGAAGCAGCCCTGAAATGCTGAAACTGAGTGCTTGTACAGTGCTGAGTCTGTGCTTTTTGAGGGGATGTGAATGAAAGAAATTGCTGCACCCTCCATAGTCTGTGACTTGCTGTCCTTCTGCAGAGTTGCCAGAGTGCCTTGATCCATAAGAGGTGCTAAGATCAGTGAAGGACACAAAGGACAGCATGAACCTCTTGTTCCCTCGCTCCTCTCTCCACCTCTCATCACACCAGCGTTTACCACATACCTCCATGCTGTCTTATTGCAAAGACATTTATTTGGAGACAGCTGTCACTAGGGCTAGAAGAACATCATCTGCAGCAGCTGTCATCTGGTGCCACCTTCCCCCTGCCCTCATCGCCCTCAGCCCTCACACATCAAGCCTTCTGCTGGCCATGCCCAGGAGCTGCCCACAGCAGAGCCCCAGCATCTCTAGAGATGCTCTCCTGGGAAGCATCCTTTCTGAACCTGGAGCCAGCTGTGCAATATCAGAGCTAATCAGAAAGGTTTCAGAGCCAGCAGAGCTCAGCCTTTGCCCAGCAGAGGCCAGCACAAACGCAGCATTTCCTCATTCTTTGCTTGTGAGGAAGAGTAACCTTCCCACCTGGAATTCCTCCACTCAAAGAGTTTCACTGCTGCTGGGAGTCCTCATTGCTGATTTGGAAGAGCTCTTCAGCAAAGGCCTGCATTGTGCAGCAAAAGGGCACTGTGATATGGCCAGAGGTTGGCCAAGTAGCACCAGGCCCAGCCAACCCCGTGTCTGCCTGTGCACCGGGAGCAGCAGCACCCTGCTCACACACTGTGTGCTCAGATGCTGGCTGAAGGGCCGGTGAACCTGTGCAGAGATGATGTCCCAGGCTGTTTGGGTGTGGATATCTGTCTCTCAGGGAACCATTTTTCATAACAAAAGAAGACAGCATCTTAGACACCCAAAAATAACCAGAAACAATGGAGAGGTCAAAACCCACTCAAACCATGAAAAGCATCTTCTGTGATCAGGTTTTTGAGGGCGGGACTGGGGCAAAGACAAGTCAGATTGGGAGATGCTTCCCTTAGCACCCATGTCTGGTGTTGGGCCAATGCTGGGTGAGCACAGCACTGCTTGAAGGGCGTCCAGTGTGCAGCCCTGTGGAGGCAGGGCACCCTGGCTGGTGCTGCCAGGACTACTGTTTATGTTCCTGAGAGGATGTTGTTGCATACCCATCTCCCAGTCTCAGCACTTACCACTTATTTTCACTCTGAGTCGCAGTAAATCGGAGACGTTACCAGTAGTCTAGTAATGCTGTGGGCATCTCGCAGAACCCCACCCAGGTGCTGCAAGATCTCAGGCCTTGACAGCTCTGCAACAAAAATATTGCCCTTATAGCTGTATGGCACACATGCATCAGGCTGGGACAGATGCTTTCTCATTACTGGTGGTGTTACTGCTGTAAGTCAGTGCAAACTTTGCTGAGGCTGTTGCATTCTCCATCTTCTGACCCCGCATAACCCAGTGAGCACAAGGGCATCAGAGCCCTAAGAAACAGCAAGTGAAAAACCCAGGGCCAAACCCACAGATGCTGGAGGAGCAGAAACTGAGCCTTGCAAACCTGAGCTCTTGAAGAGTTCAAGTTGTTGCTGTATGGTCAGTCTAAAGGGCCAAATACCTGTGAAAAGCAGCCTGGGTAGCTCCAGGCAAGGCTTGTGCAGGAAGCAGCAGCTCTGGCCATGGTATAAAGGGATGACGTGAAGCTTACATCAGCAACATTGCTTGCAATACCCTATGCTGAAAAAATAGCAGCTAGTGTTTTTCAGGGAGGGCAACAGTTATGAGCCAGCATTAGCATCAGGACCTGCACTGGCAAGCAGACTTTGGCCCTGTGCTTGTGCTGATAGCCAGGCAGGGGATCCTGGGTTGCAGAGTCTGCCTGTACCATCACTGACGCCTCCACTCAGCATCCCCAACAGGACCATGCTGCTCTGCAGAGCATGCCCAATGCATTAGCCAGGTCCAGCCCTACAGCAGGAAACAGCCCATCTCCCCCCACACCCTGCCTCCACACACCATTGCTCTAGCAATGAGATTGAGATGAGTTTTCCCTCACTGCCACTCCAGCTTCCCTGTGTCATGCAGGACCTTCAGAGTGGCTGACCCTATTTTGAAAAACAAAGCATGAAGCGTTTTCATTCTTTATTTTACAAAAATAAACCAGTTTCACCCTGGTACTCTGTGTCCCCCAACCTTCCCCTCCACCCCTGTTCTCATTCCTGTGCCTGGAGCTTCTGATGCTGCACGCTGCAGCCGGCCACTGGCACAAAGGCAGCCTGTGATGTCCCCAGGCAAGAACCAGAGAACAGCTGATGCTGAATTCTCCTCTTTCCATGATCCAAGCTGGAAACTGCCTGAAGATGCCTGCTGGTGGCTCTGCCATTTCTGCACAGGGAACAAGTCTTGGACAAAGTCACTCAGAGTACACACTTCGAGAAGGGGTGTTTGTCCGCTCGCCCCTCTCCAGATGGAAAAGTGAGCCCCACAAATAGGTTCTTGGCCGCCCCAAGTAGGCTCAGTGCTGGAAGCGCGGGGAACTGATGTGGGGCTGGTGGAAGGAGTGCGCAGCATAAAGCACCTCCGGGGGTGGTGGGGGGGGCGATGCCAGGATGGAGCAGAGCGGTTCGTGGGAGCTCAGCACCGAGGTGAAGTGCTTCATCTCCTCTGTCAACTGCTTAATCTCCCGGCGCAGGGCTGCGTTCTGCCTCTCCAGGTCTTCGCTCTCCTGGGGAGACAAAACCACGGAGGCTTCCTCAGCTGCAGGTGTGAATGGGGACGCGGGGGGAGGGGGAGGCGGGGGAGAGCGGTGCGATTACAAGTGGGGCTGTAGGAGCTGCCCTGCATTAGAGCGTGTCGCAGCATCGTGCCCTGGGACCCGTTCTGATCATAGAATCATAAAGGTTGGAAAAGACCAGTAAGATCAGCTAGTCCAACCCTCAAACCACTCCCACCGTGCCCGCTAAACTGCGTCCCTCAGCGTCGCCTCCCATCCCCTCCCAGCCGGTGCTCTCCAGGAGCAGAGCTAGGGTCTGCTGCCGACACCTCTCAGCCCAGCACTTTCCAGAACAACACGTTTCCGGCAAATTCAGCACCGAGCGGCAGCAGGGCAACACCCCCCTGCAGCAGGCTGGGTGCGGGTGCGATGCTGGCGGCTCGGGCTTACGAGAAGTGCGCCCGCCCAGGCTTTCTCGCTCCCTCTCACGCACATGCACGCTGCTGGCCGCTTCCCGGGCCGTGCGGCCGGGGGGAGGGTGCGCCGAATAACCGCCGTCTTTAACCAGAAAACCACCTGCCACAGGAAACCTGTCATTGCCCTGGAAAGAAAAGACTCACTGCTTCCTGCTAGCAGCCGGGGAAACCAGCGGCACGGCGGGGAGGAGGGGGGAGACGCTTGAGTCAGAAGAAAAGAGAAACCCGGGCCTCAGAGATGAATTATTACTGATATTAATGAGAATAACAACAAAGGGGCTATGCTCTGCCTTGCCTCAGCGATCCGGAGCAAAGCACACCCTTTGCTAGAGGGAGGTGGGCAGCTCCAAGTGGGCATCCCAGGTACTGGTGGCCACGCAGCAAGACAGAAGGAAGCAGGGAGTGCTCTGGGAATTCAGCCAAAGCAGGACTTGGGAGAGCTGCACCAGGTCCCCGGAGGAGTGAACCTGTCAGACCTCCACCGCTGCACTGACTGCTGGAGGTGCCTGCTCTCCACACACAGTGTAAATGCACCCAGCACTTACAGCACTAGATGGGCATCATCTCTGGGATGTGACAAAATGTTTTGTCACTGATGTCAGGCTGTGAGCTGACAGAAATCGCCTTGTGGCCAGGAGCTCCAACCTCACTGCGACTCGTTCCCCTCAGCACAAGCTGGGATACCTGGGGACAGATGGAGCTGCTGGCTCCTTTAAAGCACCTCAACCCCAACTTTTCTGGGCAGAACTGTGTAAAGGCGCCATTCCTCATGCAGAGCCCACCAGAGACAGAGGGGACTAGGGATGAACTGGAAAAGCCTTAGCAAAAATTCACCATCCACTCTCTACTTGCCTCCATGTGCTTCTTCAGCAGTCCCAGATCCCAGCTCATGGGAGAGAAATGAGTCTCTGTTATTGATGCCATTTGAACATTTATCTGCTAAGAAAGTTGTCTGTTGTATGCCCTAAGAGCAGCCCAATTCTTGGTGCAAATCAGGATTTTCCTGAGGGAAGATGAGAGCCCCTATCCATCTCTAGGATTGCGTAGGACAGAGCACCAGGCCCAAGAAAGTGTCTGTCTCCACCCCTCAAATGTGCAGCTCCCAGAGCCATTGCTGCTGGCAGAACTAATGAATGCAGACAGCCTGGAGCCATGTCACTTCTACCAGTATCACCCGCTATATAGGAAAGAGTGAGATCTCTGTTGTAAAATCAGCTGCAAGCATGGACTGAGAGTGAGAGGTAAGGCTCAGGAACAACACCTCAGTTCTTTCCAAATTGAGGATTTGGGGAAATGTGAAGACTTCTAAGTCAAAGGATGTTTTTTTGAACGTGAACTTGACTATCACGCTTCAAAGGGATAACATACTTAAGTGACAAGGATGGCTTTGCATGCTGCAGGCCACATGCACTGCATCCTGCTCACCAGCAGCCCAAAACACAGGATTGCATTTATCAGTGCAAAATGCGAAGGTGCTTGCCCCTAAGTTCCAACTGATCAGATGCTCCTGGCCAAGTGCACACAGCAGGAAGTGGCCATCCCTCCTGACATGTACATTCCTGATTCACCACTCTGGGAGGAGCTGCAGAGTGCCTGTGGTGCCACAGGGTAGAATAGGACAACAGGGGTGAAACCAAAGCAGGGAAAATCCATGCTGTGCAAGAGGAAATGCCTCCAGGTACTGTATGGTATTCAGATGTAAGAAGGGATGCATGCTCTGCCATAGGGATGTTTTAAAATACTGGAAAATGATTAATAGTTTTTCATCTGCATTGTGCAGCATTTCAAAAAGGCTTGCTTGTATGCTTGTTGCATCACCAAACAATAAGTAACAACATGAAGCACAAACCTGGAAGCCTGATGAACCCGTGCTTTCCCATGCAACCCTAATGAAGCTGTGCTTTCAAAGAGCTTCTGGCTGAAGCATTCAGAAGAAGTCAAGGGAGGAAATTGGTCATGCCAAACCGAGAAATAAAGTCTTGATATTGAACTGCATGCTAAACTAAAGGCTTCAGTGGCCATCAGGGTAGTGACAACAGGACATGCCAGGCATGAATCCTGGCAGCAGTGACCCCATGGGAAAGGCAGACATGGTACCGGTGACACAGAATGAGTCATCTCGATTGAGCCTAGAGAGGAAACCTGTAACATTTGGTAGATGAACCAGAGGATTTCACTCTGGATCTGCTGAAGGAGGAGTGTCCCTGGGCATCTCAGTAAAGAAAAGCCGCCCATGCCATTAGCACTGCCTCCAACACCCTGACTTGGCTCCACTGTTCCTGTCCTGGCTCAACCAAGTACCTCTGTTCCTATGCCCCCAGGAGAGAGCACGCTGTCCCCACTATGAGCCCTCCATGCAGGGAATGGAGAAGGCTGGATGTGCTCACCAAGTGCAGCGTATCTGCTTTCTGGGTCTGCCGCAGCCGGCTCTTCTGGGCAGCAATGCGGTTCTTCTCCCTCCTCTGGACTTTCCTCATGTCATCAGAAGAGTCCTAGGGAAACATGAGGCATGGAAATGACTGCAGCAACCCTCCTTCACCCTGCTTCTGCTGGGTTGGAGATGGGAAAGGAGACACAGCAGATAACAGCATTGAAGCACAGGCTATGAAATACATCCTCCTCAGCACAAAGGTAAAGTTCTGCCTCAGGGACATGTGATGCTTTTGACATCTCAGATGCCAGGAGAGACAGATCTGATCCCCTCACCATCCTGGCACAACTGCTTTGCCAAGACACCAGCCAAGGATATGACTTCAGGAACATGGACAAGGACCTCTCCAGAAGAGAGAGAATTTGAGTTCCTTGCTCAGGAAACCTTTCCCTTCTCCACTCTGGAAAGATATGGCACTGCAGTTATTCCAGCTCCTTGGCTAAATTGGTTTTCCAGAGATGTATCCTGTGCTTTCCTCCTTCCATCCCTGTAGGTCCCAAACCCTCTCCCCACCACCCTTCTCTGTCAGCTTTGGATTGTTGCAGACGCTTATAGCATGGTGCAGCTCACTATAACACTGCATGCTTAACTAGGCAGACTCTGACTTTTAGCCATATCCCCAGATCTCCTTCACTCCAGCTCTTCCATCCCCGTTGTTTGCTCCTTTCTGTATTCCATTGGCAGCAACATCCACAGTGCTGCCCATGGTGTTCCTGAGCCCTTGGCAGAGGGGAGCTCAGTCTTTTGGTGCCAGGTCACGAGCTTTGTGCAGCAGCCCTTCTCTGCTCAGATCTGGTCCTGCTGCTGCCTTCTGGCAGTTAAAACTGTCATACAGATTCTTTCATCTTCTGTTTTCATATGGTGCTGCCTCTTTTGTGGACTCTAACATTCGCACCACTGCTCCCCCACAGGTCTATGAAACTCAGCCACAAAAGTTATCTTCCCAGCCCATCAGTCTGTCCACATCCTCTCCCCCCTCCACCCCGCCCAAGATCTTTTCTCTTCTTTGAACTTAACCGTTTTATCCTTGCCTTCATTGCATTCATCCTACCAACTTCATACATGGTAGATCCCAAGTACTGCACCAAGCCCAGTCCCTTGACAGTGTCTGTGCTTCAACCTCTTCTCCCCCAGGATGCCTCCCCATCCCTGGCTGCAAGCCTGAAATCACCAGCTCTAATCATCCTGGAGATTTCTGAGCAAAGTCTCAGCACTAGACAGTGGCAAACGATACCTATAGTGAAGGTGATAGAAATAACTTGGGCTTGTGTTAGTTTCTGCCAGAACTACCATTAAGGCACTCTGTGCAATAACAAAAATTCCCTCAGCCTAGTATCGCTGAGATGAAAACCTTCTGAAGATGAATAAGAAGAGCAGACCCAAAGCAGCAGGGTTTCCCCCAGACCCTGAGTGCTCTGCAAGGCAGTGAGAAGCAGGCAGGTTCCCCTGAGCATCCTCTCAGTGACACTGGACTCTGCACACAGCCTCCTATATGGCAGTTAGCATGGGGCCCACCATGCCATGGAGTCCCCCCTTGTCCTCAGTACAGCCCAGCTCTCTGGGCTTCCTCTCCCCTACACCCCTTTCGGTGGGCACTGCTCCCAGCTCAGCCCCACATCCCACTCTCTCCACAGCAGTTCCTAGAAAGCCCCACCACAGTATGTCATGCAGGCAGCAGCAAGGGATGCCAGGCATCCTCACGGCCGCTCAGAGCCTCCTGCCAACCCGAAGGAGAGCTGGGGAGAGGCAGGGAAGGGTCCCCATTTACCTGCTTGCTAGGAGGGGGGGACTGGCTGGAGATGCTGGAGTCGCTGCTGTCGGAGCTGTGGGGCATGGCTCCTGTCTCTGGCTCCCAGGACCTCCTTGGCTTCCTTTGCACCTGTGGTATGCCTGGCTTCCCTCTTTCTCCCTTGATTCCTCCTCTGCCCTGGGGTGCTCGCTGGGCTCTAGCACCCTCCAGCCCAGAGGCACGCTGTCCTCCTGCCCTGTGCTCTGCTGCTTCCTCTGCCTCTCTGCTCTGAGCTCTGCACCTTCCTTTAGGTCTCAGCCTCCTGTGGTTTCTCAGAACCTAGGGGATGTAAGCTGAAAGTCACGTGGCCGGAAACTTTAAGACGAAGAAGAAAAGTTAAAGAAGAAGAAGAAAAAAAAAAAAGCACATCTGGGAAAAATGAGCTTCAAAATAGCCTGAAAAAACCCCGAAAAACACCTTCAAGCAGTAGAAAAACAGCAAGATGGGTTTTCTCCGAGACAAACAGCAGAGATGTAAAGGGAAGAAAAGCCCCAGCCCTGGCTGCGAAAGCAGGACCCTCAAAGGAGGGCATCGCGGAGGAGGTGGTGTCAGGAGCCCCAGAAACTCCAGGGCAGGAGGAGCTGCGCACCCATGGTCTTATGAGGGCAGGAGGCAGTCCAGAGCTGGTGACCTCCATCACCCCAACCCTGCTGGGAAGTTCCAAGGCAGCCTCCCTCAACCCCGCAGCCCACTCGCCTGTCCTGCCACCCCCAGCACTGCCTGCGCAAGTGTCAGGGGAGACCTGCATCCTCAGCCAGCGTCACCTAGATGCTGCTGGTATCATGGCTTGTGTGTGTGGGATGAGCCAGGCCCAGATGAAAACAAAGAGCTGAGATGGAAGAACATTTGGAGTTGTTGGAGGGAGTGGGAGGGCCCTATAAACCCAGCAGCTAGAGCTGAGACCTGATTGTCACTCCATGCCACAGTACGAGCTTGTCCATCTTGGGTACAAGCAGCTGTTGTGCATGGGTCCTGGCTCCCTGCCTGCCTGCCTGCTTCCTTCTTGCCCTCTCTCACCATAGCCAGCATCAGAAGATGTGGAGACAGGAATATCACAGCATACTGGGCTTGTTTCCTTGCTATTTGCCCTCTGAGAGCACTCAGCTTTGGGCATGGCCTCACAGCTGCTGTGTTTCAGTTTGCCCCCACCTGCAGCCCTGCAGATGATGGTGTGAGAGCAGGGAGAAAAGCAAGACCATTCCCTTCCCAATCATCTTGCGGCATTGGAGCCAGAAGGGTGAGCGGGGCCGGGTGCCAGCAGGCTATCCATCACAGACAGAAGTGCACATCCTCAGAGCAACTGGATGCACACACGTGCTGTGGAGGGCAGATAGTGAGCAAAGCACGAGCCCACCCACAGTAACGCACTACTATGGAAAGCAGCGGTTCGTAGATCCCGCTTACCCGTGTTTCAATTCCTTCTGCTTCCTGCACAGGAATATCAAAGCCCAGCACAGTGCAGCACTGTACCCTAGCCCCAAACAGCTTGTGCTTTCACAGCCCCAAACCCACATGAGCGCCCTGTGCCAGGCACTGCGAGTGGGTGCTTGCAGCGGGGCAAATGCCCCTTGACTCCAGGAGCTCGGGGCCATGCCCACTGCCTTGGGCTACACATTCCATGCCCACTCCCTCTAGTGATGGACCTTTTCTTAACCCCCCACCTGACCCTCCCCTGACACAGCTCCATGCTGTTCCCTCAGGCCCTGTTGCTGTCACCAGAGAGCAGTGCTCACCTCTGCCCCTCCGCTCTCTGCGAGGAGCTGCAGGCTGCCATGAGGCCTTCCCTCAGCCTTCTCTCCAAGTGGAGGTGCACAGTCCCTACCTGTGAGCACAAAGTTTGCTTGCTCAACCAGAGCCTGCTCCCTGTGCTGGCTCTCTGAGCACACAGATCTCCTCCGAGCCCCAGGAACAGGGCACTCGCAGGGCACTGATGAGAAGAAGGGCAGATTCAGGGTTGCCAAGCTGCTGCTGGCAGACAAACCATTGAACCATCACTTCACTCACTGCCTCACTACACTTCCTCTGAATGCTACAACCCCACACAGTGCTTCTCTGCAGGAAGCACACTGTTGAATTCCCGCTGTCCAGAGGAAACCCACACTCCTCCGGCATCAAGCACATCTCATGGATTACCTGGGCTCCCATCCACCAGATCAGTAGTTCCTTTGAGCCTTCCTCAAAGTCTCTACAAGTTGCTGCTGCCGAAGGCAGGATGCAGAGAACTCCTTCCTCACTTGCCTCATCCTTGGGCAAACAAGCCAAATGCCCTCCTTTGGCAGCCAGCAAGCCCAGCAGCTGAGAAGCGATTCAGCCAGGGACAAGTAGTTGGCGGGATGCAGTTCTGGAAGCTGGGAAAGCAGCCACAAGTTGGGCAATTATTTCTATGCAAACTCATTTGATCCTCAAAAGGAAAGTCTGGAGCTACGCCTTAGCTGGGCTCTTCTTAGCAGCCCAGGGCTGATAGAGAAATCCCAGCTGGCAGCCTACCTAAGAACCAGTCACCTGACTGCCATGCTTTATGTTGGTGACTTAAACTCACACTATGAATAGCATCCTCTGACTTTCTCTCTGGGATCATTTAAGCTTCTTGACCTTAATCACAGCAGCTGCAAAATCATTATCAGCAGTGCTGGATAAGCTTGCAAAAAGTGTTAGGTCACTGCCATACCAGCAGACCTATAGAGCAGGGATATTTCTCAGAGGAGTGTAGGGGAAGGATGGAGCCATCTGGTTCTGCATCAGTCCCTGCTGAAGGCAGTCCCATTACCTGAAGCGTGCAGGCGATGCGAGGGCAGAGAGGTGGCAGGGACTGGAGGCTGGGGGTTTGCATTACCTCAGCTACAGAGAAATGGTCTGACAGCGACAAGGTGCAACTCAGCAAGAACAAATGCAAATGTAAAGCAACGCAAAGTGTATAGAGAAGTGGGGAATAACCAGCTAGGCAGCAGAACAGCAGGGAAAAGTCTGGGGCTTACAGAGCCATCTCAAAGCAAAGCGTTGGCAGCAGCGCGGAGCTGTGCAAGCAGGCAGGCAGGCAGCAGGTGGGTGAGGGAGGTGAAGAGCGGCTCCCCCTCTCAAGGGGTAAAAAAGCCCAGAAGAAAATAACCCATGGGGTGAACACACCAAGCTCCTGTGTGAAGAGGAAGGAGCGAAGATGATGGGTCCACTCGGCCTAGAAAAGAGAACTCCTGGGGGCGAGCAGAGGGCGAGGGAGGAAGGAGCTGTCTTTGATATGCTGTAATGGAAAGAGTGGTCAGCTGTTTTCTGTGCAGCCAGCACCAGGCTTCAATGGCAGTGAGAGAGATTCAGGTCAGAGGTTGAAAAGAGGTCAAAGTTAGAAAGGCAACGCTGTCCCCTTCACACGAAGTGGTGAGGAACAAACCTTTGTCACAAATGGCCCGGGTTTCATCCTGCTTCTGTAGGACAGGCTGGAAAGAGATGCTCCCAGGGTTTAAATAAGGTGACTTATTTACAGAATAACTACTACTAAGAGAGCACATTGTGCATCTGCCAGGCTTTAACTGCAGCCAGTCCCCACACCTGCCCATACATACTGCTTTCTCAGGAGAGAAGGCTGCTGCAGCTTCCCCATAAACCTACCGCATCCCTCTCACTCATCTTCTTTGTATGAGCACTCAGTGCATAGCGCTATTTAAAAAGCTAGCGTAGGGAAGTTATCAACTTCAGCCTCCTGTAAACCGTGGGGGTTGCTTCTGCTCCACATTAACATTTTATGCAAACACTTTTTCACAATACAAGCACAACAATTTGCATATATTCCCCATTCGAGTTCAAAGACTCTTGTGTGGGATTCAGTGCTGATGAGTGAGCAGTGGTGGTGAATGAAAGCCTCACACTACCTAGCAAGTTTCTGCAGCACAGCATCCCATCCCAGCAGCACAGGCTAGTCCTGTCTGCACCAGGGCAGCTTCCCCAGCTGGCAGGACAGCCCATCTCTATCCTAGGATTATATCACCTGTGCTAAGGTAAGGGGGAGCAGGAGAGCCAGGGCTTGGTCCCACTGATTTTATCCCACCTGAATCACACCGATCACCCATCCCACAAGCACTTTGAATCCACAATGAGCACAACCTCACAATCTACAGGAGACACATACATCCCAAATGAGTTATCAATGACAAGAGCTGTAAAATCAAGCACTCAAAAGTACAGAAAACTCAGAATTAGCTTCCTTAAGCACTCTGCACTTGCAGCCGTGTGCAATGTACTGTTCTGAGCTGGGCTTTATACCTGCAGTACTCATAGAGGTTCCTTCCCTGTCATTGCCACCTTACCTCTATCCCAGTGGTCTGATCCCACTTTGATGTCCTGCTTTTTCATTTTTTCACAGCCTCTTCCTAGTGCTAATCTCTTCAGCATCCCCAGGTGAGTGCTCGAGGACTGTTAATGAAGTTGTTTCCTCATCCACCTTTCCACGTGAAGGGGTAGAAATACTCCTGTTTTACAATTGCAAAATGAGAGATAAAGAGGGATTTAGCTCATAAGTACTCATTAATTTTGGACATTTTAGCTAATTAACAACTAATTTTTTAGTTGTTAGAGCCAGTGTTTCTGGCTCGATGTAGAAATTCATTTAAGCAGGCCCCAGTTCCTGATGTCTGTGGCTGCAGCTGCAACCTTTTAGATCTTCCACAAAGCAGACCTGGCAAATGAGGAACACATGGCTGCTCCTGTGAAAGACTTGCTTATGCAGCTCACCAGGTCACTTTGGGGCAGATTCAGCTCTCTTAGAAGGCACCAAAGGTTTGCCCAGGAGACCTCCTTTCCTTCTGTAGTCCCTCGTTTCCTTGTCTGGTAGGAGTGTCAGCCCTGGTAAGAAAGCAGGTAGCCCAGTAGGCCAGCTCTCGGTCCACTCCAGCAGTGGTCCAGCCTGGCTGATGAAGATGTGGTCATCTAGGGCAAAAAGCAGAGGTAATCACATGTATGAGACTGCTGAAGTTAGGTTGCCCAGATAAAGCCATTTCTGGCAATGTATAGCTCTTCTGTACCTGTCTTTGCCACTTCTATGAACTTTTTTGAATGTCTTTGGTGTGCTTTGTATGTGTCCCTGTCTATGCGTCACAAGAAGAAAACTATAGAAACTAATCTCCACATGTTTGCTCTCCAGGACAGGGTGTCCCAGCAGAGCTCAGCAGGGTCTGGCCTCCAGCACACCCCAGAGCTTCAGTCTTGGGACACAAATAATGTGTTCACACCAGGTTGCTGAAGGGATCAGCCACAGGACTTAGCAGCTCATGAGCAAGCATAGCACTTGGGTGTGTGCTTACATGCCTCTCCAGGTCACAGATTACAAAACCTGGTATGGTACTGAGAATCTCAGAATTGCAGGAGTCGGAAAGGACCTCTAGAGATTGTTGAGGCCAATCCCCTGCCAAAGCAGGTTCCTTATACAGATCGCACAGATAGGCATCTAGATGAGTCTTGAATATCTTCCTAGGACACTCCACAGTCTCTCTGGGCAACTTGTTCCAGTCCTCCGTCACCCTTACTGTAAAGAAATTCTTCCTCATGTTTGTTTGGCACTTTCTACATTCTGGTTTTATGCTATTGCTCCTTGTCCAATCAACACAGCACTGAAATTAATCTGGTCTCACCCCATCGCTTCTCATGCTTTAGATCCGATCCCCTCTCAGTCTCCTTTTCTCTAGGCCAAACAGATCCAGGTCTCTCAGCTTTTCCTCATATGGGAGATGCTCCAGGCCCTTTATCATCTCTCTGGTCCTCCGTGGGACTCTTTCTAGAAGATCCCTGTCTTTTTTGTACTAGGGTGCCCAGAACTGGACACAGTAGTCTAAATGTGGCCTCACCAGGGCAGACTAGAGGGGGAGGATCACCTCCCTTGACCTGCTGGCCACGCTCTTTTTAATGCACCCCGAGATACCATTGGCTTTCTTGGCCACAGGGGCGCACTGCTGGTTCACAGCCAACCTGTCGTCCACCGGGACACCCAGGTCCTTTTCTGCAGAGCTCCTTTCCAGCAGGTCAGCGCCTGAGCGGTGCTGATGTATATTGTTATTTCTCCCCAGACACCAAGGCCAAATTTTCTCCAGTTGCTTTCTTCAAAGTACCCAGTCCCTTTCTTACCAGGAGCAAACCTGACCACTCAGTCCACTGGATGAGCATTGACATGGGGCTCCAGAAGGCCTCTCCTCCACCTGTTGCTGGTAAATCAAGGCTTTTCTTCTTCCCCTGACAAGACAGAGCCCACCATCATGTTGCACTCTACAACTTCCTGAAGGGAGGTTGTGGTGAAGAGGGGTTTGGCCTCTTCTCCCAGGCAACGAACAGGACCCGGGGAAATGGCCACAAGTTTAGGTTGGCGTGAGGAAAAACTTTTTCTCTCAGAGAGTGATCAGGCACTGGAATGGCCTGTCCAGGAGGGTGGTGGAGTCACCATCCCTGGCAGTGTTCAAGAGGCGCCTGGATGAGGAGCTGCAAGATATGGTTTAGTTTGTGGTAGCAATGGTAATGAGAAGACGGTTGGACTGGATGATCTTACAGGTTGTTTCCAACCTTGTGATTCTATGATTCTATGATCTGACTTATCCAAGTGCATGGACACAGTGTGTGCAGGGGCACAGCTGCTGTCTGACGGTTTGACTCACCTCGATGGCAGTATCGTTCAGCAATGGTGGGGAAGGCCCGAAGAGGAAGGGCAGCGACCCGTTTAACCAGAGCGGCTGATCCACCCAGGGCAGGTTACCGGTGCTTGCAGGAGGCTGCAGCCCCAGCTTCCTTTATGTATTTCCAGACCATGAGGCAGGAACGGTGTGTGGCTGTGCAGCTCCACACACCTCAGGCCCATGCTAATGTCGCAGTGGGTCCAAATGAGCATCAACCTTTTTACTCCTAGGGATGGCTGCAGCTTGACAGGGTCTGATCCTCGCTGGGCACTACTGCCATGCCCTGGGACATGGGGCGTAGGAGAAAACACAATACTTGTCTCCTAAATTAATGCATGATTCCTTTCAACCTCACCCTCACCATCTGTTCAACCCTCCCAACAACAGGGTGCAATATGTTTGGGGCATGTTCTTGCAGCAAGTAGACTCGAAGATGCCCTTCTCAGCAGCGAATGTCTGAACAGCAGGACTGCTCCAAGCACACTCCCATCCCAACAGCAGCTTCTTCACTTTCTCCCTTTTTTCTTCACCATTTTACCCTTTCCCCCCCCTCAATTCTCAGGATCTCATGCCCCACAGTGCCTGGGAGGTGGAACAAGGGAGAGGGGCTGCAGCTCAGCCCCAGCACGAGGAGCTCCTGCTGCTGCTGCTGACAACTCCCACTGTAGCTTCAAAGAGGGGACAGAAAAAGGCAGAATCTCCTTCCCTCACCCCTGTGTCCAAGAGCCATGCCATTTCCTAACTTTTTTTAATCCAAACCCTTGGACCCGAGTTTGGACATCCTCATTTTTCAGGAGTACCTTATCCTCAGTGCTCTGCGATGCCAGCGGGCACCTTGTCCACCTGCACAAAGCAATTAGCTGCTCTGAAAAGTGTGTCAGTTTACCAGTTTGAAATGAGTTGTCTTTCCATTTCTTTGAACATCTTGTGAGGGGGTGAGCAGGGGAACAGACTTCTCTCTAAGCCAGGCATTGCTCTACACATCTCTATCATGCGGCATTTCATTAGTTTCCGCTCTAAACTACTGGGACTTTTAGTCTCCACATAGGGAAATTTTCCTATGCCACAGATTGAGGTCAGTGCCCATCTTTGGACGTCCCCCATTTTCACAGTGGGGCAAGTAGAAGTGACGCAACACACAAGGCAAGATGTCCCACAGCCATCTATACTGTTATAATAAGATGGACACGCTCTCCCATTCCCATTCCCTAAGCTCCGTCCCTGTTTCCCCACTGCTGCACAGAGGCTGGATACTCCCAGTATCTGGCTGGCACTCCCAGTTTGAGCATGGCTTTGAACCCATTTGCACCCTCACTGTGCTGCATGTCTGACAGCCAGTGCTTGGCCATGCTCTGGAATGTGGTGAGAAGCAATACTGAGCTGCAGCAGCCCTGGCATGTGGTGGCCATCAGGCAGGGAGATGCCCATGCACTTGGCTCTGTGCAGGCAGCGAGACACAGCAGGGCACTCTGGCACTCCTTGCTGCTCCTAAAACCTTGTTCACATCAGCCAGAGACCTGATGGCATCAACTGGCAGCAGAGTGGCTGCAGGAAGTCCTATTTCAGCTGCCCTGCTGTGAGAGGCCCAGTCAACGTCTCGCTGGTATCTCAGCTTGCTACACAACCAACATCTGCAGCGTGGAAGTGATGAGTGCATCAGGTCACATTGCTAAGGACGAAGATTTCCACCAAAAAGGAGAGATGTCTCCACTAGCAGATACCTACAGAAGTGCAGCAGCGACTCTTCCTGGCACCCACAGGGTGTGCCTGTATGGCAGATCCCAGCAGATACACGCTGAGAGGCACCTGCTGATGCCCACAACCCCCCTCCAGCACACTGCCTTGACCACCTCACAGGGCTACGGCACTCAGCAGCACTGCGCAGTGCGCTGCCAGCAGCAACCAAAAGGCACACGCTGGCCTGCCTGGAGGCCCCACCAGCACCAGGGCAGGCACAAAGCCTCACCGCCCACCTCCTCCCGGCAGCCCCAGCCTTGCTGCCGCAGGTTTCCAGCAGATCCTCCTCAGCCAGTGGTGCTGCTGGAATCAGGGCACTGGCGAAGCCGCCACAGGAACTGCAGCGTCAGGAGTCAGGACTTCCCCCGACAGCAATACAGATGACAGCTCAGCAAGTTCATTCTGCAGAAACTAGATAACATCAGCTCAAGGTGGTGGTTACTGGCAAAGGATCCTGTTCCTGAAGCTTCATCTGAGACGTGACAGGCGGCAGCGAAACCTTGCTGTCACACATACCCAGATTCTGCTCTTGCTTCGAGCCACATGGGGCTTTGGAAGTAGCACCGAGCACACACTGGGTGCTGCTTCTTGCAGTGCTGAGCCTGTACCCTCGCCTCCAGGCTCTGTCTACGGGCTGGAGGAAGCAGCGGGTGGATTCTCTCGCTCCCTGCAGCCATGCCATGCTGGTGGCCCCGCTTCAGCTGTGGGCTGTGCTGGCATCACTCAGAGCAGACCGGCACCACGTGAACCAGTTTCCGTGTCTCTTGGTAAATATCAAGGCTGGGGATTTCTAGGGGTTGTTTTCCAGCCAGATAAGTAGATGGACCAATAAAGACAAAGATAAGTGAATACCTGCCGGCCTTGGCTCAAAAGGGAACAAGAGCGGGTCATTGCCAAAGGTTAGCTGACACCACTCATCGCAGCGTCATGGAATCACCCCGAGAAAAGTAGCGGCCGATGAGGCTCTCCCCAAAGACGGAAATGGACAGAAGCCCGTGGGTCCCCTATGGGCCTCGGCTCTCCCACGGCCGCGCAGCCCCTCCTGCTGGCAGCCCCTGGCAGCACCGGGCTCGGGGTACCACCGGCGTGCTGGGTGGGCAGCGAGTTGACCTTTGGGAAGCAGCCTTCATCTTTTTGAAGAGAAATCCCCCATCACCAACCTTCCCGTGGGACTCTGGTGGAAAGATGACACTGCCACCGTGCTTTGGGTTTAGGAGCTCCATCTTGGCTCAGAGCAAGGAGCAGGCTGGCCCAGCGCTGGAAGCTGAACGAGGGCTGGACTCAGATGCAACACTATGGGCCTGGCGGGCTTGCACCTGGAACGTGCTCCTGCTTCTGCACATCCCCAGGAGATAGCACTGTAACGCACCACTGCAGTCTAACCAAGTGCTCTGGAAAAAACAGTGCCTTAAGGGCCTTAAGGGCAATTTGTTCGGCACTGACCAGAGTGCAGCAAAACACTGCTCTGAAGACATACAGGAAACAGGCACATCCTGTCTTGGCACTGCTGGGGCTCAGAATGCTTCTGCCTGAGCCTTGTGAGGAGGCGCTGCACATTAAACCAACACCACTCCACTGCTGCTGCCTTTGCTGTCTGCTGCCAGTGTGCTTGGTTTCAAAGGGCATCTAATATTTCTCTTCCAAGCCAGCTGTTTTCGTAGCAGGAAGTTTCAGTGCAGCACGGCTATTGGCCAGAGAAGGGCCATCCATCACCTGCACTCAGGGCAGTGCACAGGGTGACGGTGTGTGGGAGTCACACAGGCCCTCCACGTAAGGATGAGCACAAGGGCTGTCCAGATGAGCAAGAAGCATGTGATGACTGTGGTTGGGCCATCTGATGTCCCACAAGAAGCTTGCTCTCACCAGGAAAGATGAAACTGATACATGGAGGAGCCTGGAAATTCATTACCTTCAATACTCTGCAGGGGAAAATAAAGTCCTGAAGGGAGAAGCAGGACTAGAAAATGTTCTGCAGCCTCTTTCAGCACAGCTCAGTGAGAGCCATTGCATTCCTTAGAAGTGCCAAGATTGGCTCATTGTGAGAATAGGGTCAGGCCTCAGCAACGGCTGCAGGGCAGAATGAAGCATGGAGCAGAGACGTCCAGCTGCAGTGGGAGCCAGGCCACACACTGCCTTTCTTCACCAGCTTTGTTCCAGATCCCTTCCTTGCACGTCCCTCTAGCACACCTCAGCCAGCAAATCCTCCTGTGGCAAAAACTGCCTGTACCAGATCCAACATACCTTACGCTAAATAAGGCAGCTGACAGAATTCTGGGAGGTCCCAGAGACAGAAGTTATAGAAAGGGAGGGGAAATCCAGAAATAAACGGGGAAGGGGCTAATATTAGACACTGCTGGAGATGGAAAAGGAGACCGCAGAGAAATAAATATGCACCAGAGAAGAAGTTATGCTCAGAAAAGGCCACCTCCTGGGTTCTTACCACATTTAGGGCGAACTTATCCTCTCCCCAACAGTACTTAAGCATTACTGGGTACCAGAGCTCACAGTTTGCATCAAAGTCTCCTGAACCACACTGGCAAAGGAACTGGGAGAAGATAGGGTTCACCACGGCTCCTCTGGACACCACCACTCAGTGGTGTTCCATGAGTGAGATGAAGCCTGTCTTGCCCACAACAAGGTGCCCCCCCACTGCCTTTGTATGTAAGACTCAGAAACACACCTATATAGTGACAGGCATTGGTTATACACCTGAGGATACCAACTCCTTCAGTTCCAGTGAGCCCTTTTGTCCTAGAACCTCAGTGCCATCTGGCTGATTACCTTCTGTCCTGCACATCTCTGTGCTCAGCACTGGCAGGGCTCAGCCTTCTCAGAAAGCTGGGACCCAGCGGAGGCCCACAGGACCTGTATTCTGCCTTCTTTCCCAAAGGGATCACCACCACTCTGAGGCTGCAACAGCTTCCCTTCCTCTTTGTCTTCCCTAAAGGGGCTCAAGCTGTGGAACCCAGGAAGAGGCAAGGATGAGATCATCTCCCACATCTCCCACCTTTGCATTTCCTGCCTGCAAATCATGTCCTGCCTGCCCATTAAGGTACAGCACCAAGCTACTGCTTGACTAACAGCTGCCAGAGCCACCTCTGGCATTCCCATCTTTCCTAGATGAATGCCTTCAATACAGCTAACGCCAAAACAGCTCTGGGATCAGCCTCCCGCATGGCCAGCACAGTCAGAAACCCCATGGCTGCCATCACGGGGCTGAGCTCCATCCAAAGCTCACCACAGCCCGACCCAGACAGAGCACAGGAGGGCGAAGTACATAAAGGTAACATTTACTGGGAGATACAGAACTGAGTATTATGAAGGACATACATGGATGGAGGCGGCAGCGGCAGCACTGCAGAGGGCTGCTGGGCCCCCATCCCAGCGCGCTGTGGGAAGGAGCCCACTGCCAGACAGGTAACACAATGGAGATAACTGCGGCATATGCGTTTGTAACAAACAGACCATCGTAACATACATTTCTATGGGATCACATCTAGTGATTATATAAATCCATATAGAGATCGCCGTATAAAAACTTTGTAAAAAATATCTTTAAAAAAAGTGTAAAAATGTGCATTCAAAAGCACGGCCGACACGGACAGCTGGGCTGTAAACATTATACTGAGAGTGTGCTTGTGGGGGGCGCCTGCGCCACCGGGCCCCGACGGGCCTGCCACCGGACGGGGCGCGTCAAGTGTCTGCGGTTCTGCAGCTGGGTTCCGTGCCGAGTGTGCGCCGGGAGCGGCGGCAGCCTCTGGGGATTGGCTCCGGCAGGCCACGTCCCTGCGCCCCACGGGCACTCTGAGGGCTGTGGGGAAGAGGGCCGAGTGGGAGGTCTTCTCCCGCCTCCTCCTTTTCTGTGCACCGTGGGTCCCCAGGGCTACAAACGGGCTGAAGGGCTGTGATTGGGTATCACACGGAGGTTGCCCTCACCCGCGCCACCAGCCCTGCTCCTGGGTTCAGGCACGGAGTAGATGCTTGACAGATTCCCAATCTTCTCTGTCCCCAAATTTTTTTGGTCCATAGTTCCCAAGGAAGCCTACTAGGTCCTGGATGCACCAGGCCTCGGTGCACAGTTCTTCATACGATACGTACATTAGAGACCCCGGAAGACCCCGTGCCGGTCTCCTCCTCCAGTGCCACCTTCACTTCTTCTCCAGCTGCTCCAGCAGCGGGTTGGCTTCACTCTCGGGCGTCTTGATGCTGTCTGTCCGAACGATGCAGGTGGGACGGTGCCGGTTCAGCATCAGGATCAGCTGCTGCCTCTCTTGTTTCAGCTCTTCTATCTGGGCCTTCAGTTCAGCATTCATGAGCTCCAGGCGCTCAGACTCCTAACATGGCAGAAACACAACCACATGTGACTGCTCCATGAGGACAAGGTGCAAAGAGAAATACTTGGCCAACAAGCCACCACTACTCAGCCCTTGCAGTAAAGGAGCAGCCTGAAGACATGCCAAGACATTGGGCTTCTCCAAGCAGCTCCTATCCAGTCCATTACCTTGTGTCAGGTTAAGGAAATAGAGCTATGTCCTCAGACAGGGCTCTGCTGCACTACAGCAGCCCCATGCCTGGCCGCTTTCCACAGTGTGGGAAGATGTTGGGAAATGAACCTGCATTTTCAAATTTTAAAAGGTTTGTCTCTCTGTCTGCAAGGAGCTGCCTTTGTGAAATGATACAGCCATGTCATTTGCCCATATCCCACCAGCCCTTACCGAAAAGCAAGGCACTAGAAGTGGTTTTTGTCTAGAGGTCACAGAATCACAGAATGGCCAGGGTTGGAAGGGACCTCAAGGATCACAAATCTCCAACCCCCCTGCCACACGCAGGGCCACCAACCTCCTTATTTAATGCTAGATCAGGCTGCCCAGGCCCCATCCAATCTGGCCTTGAACACCTCCAGGGATGGGGCATCCACAACCTCTCTGGGCAGCCTGTTCCAGCACCTCACCACTCTCTCTGTAAAGAACTTCCCCCTGACATCCAACCTAAATGCCACCACCAGAGGGCATCTGGCCTCTGAATGAGGAAACCTCCTGGAATTTGGGCAGGGGGCCAGCGGGCATCCAGCCATCCTGTGCCATGCTCACACAGTGCTCCTGCTCCAGCACAGATACAAAGAGATATCAGAGCCCTGTGCTCTAAGCCCACCTCCGGGTCAGGGCACCCACCCGCTGCAGGAACTCCGTCCTCTCCTTCTTCTTGTTACGACATCGCGCTGCTGCTACTTTGTTTTTCTCCCGGCGCCTTTTCCTCCTCTCCTCTTCCTCATCAAGCTGCAATGAGACGCACAAGTCCAGGTCAGAGTATCAAGAGGGGCATGACAGGAGGCTGGGAGCCCCTAGCAGCCCTACACTACTCTCATCAGTAACATGGTCCCATCCACACCAGTAACCAAGTATGTTGCTGCCAGAACAGCATAGCTTGTCACATATAGACATCTAGAGGCACCATTCTGAGTATTCAAAGCATCAAACACATTCGGGCAGGATGCAAAGACACCTGGAAGAGCTTCCCAGCTGAGCCAGTTTGTTGCCCACTTCCAGTGCACTTCCAGTGCTCCATCCTCAGTGCTGGTCAAGTCACTGGGCCACTTCAGCAAGCTAGGGACAGATGCTGCATCCCTGCTATGGAAGCAGGGCACGGCAGCGCTGCCTGCCATGACTCAGTTGCTCAGCGTAATCTGATTCAAACCACACAGATCAGGCTAATAAGCCCTATGAGTTGAAAACCCATAATCAAAATACTTATGGATTTTTACTACAAAGCCTGTGTAAGTGGCCTATGGCATGCTTACACCCAAGGACTCAAACCAGCTCCTTCTCAAGAAAACTCTGAGTGCCAAAAAGATCTTCAAATTCAGCATCCCGTGGCATTTTGGGACACAGATATAGGAGAAAAAGACCCCATTGTCATTAAAGACCCACAAACAATAATCATCCACATTTGGCCTGGGACTCTGAAATTTGAGATTTCAGAGTGCGCTGCCATGTTCCTACCAAGTGACATCCCACAGCATAATCTTTTCAAATATAGCAGCAGAAACATTTACTATCACTTCCACAACCTACTTGCATGTTCTTTTAGGCAACTCCAGTTTGATGACAAGGCAGCATCCTCTTTTCTCTAGCACTCCCCAGGTGAGTGTGATTAGAAAGTATCTCCTAGTGGAGCCTTTCACAGCACACACCATTTGAGCAGCCTAATTGCTCACTCTTGGGCTTAGGGACCTCAAATGAAGCTGTAGATCTCCAGTATAGAGGCCACAAAGTGGTGGTGAAAATGAGGGCTGCCTAAGTGTCCCAGACAAAGATACACTGGTGGTATCTGCAGGAAATGAAGGCTGCAAGGGCCATCATCTAATCCAGGCAAGCTGCTAACATTCTTGTAGTCCGAGTCCCACTAATCAGAATATCTCAACATGACATGCAAGGATGGGATGAAACACTATCTGCGCAGAATTAAGTAAGCGGCATTTCTAATGTTTAGAAGACAATGCCCAAGTTCCATAGCACTAACAGCTTTTGCATCTGCTGTACCTTACTTCCCAAACATTATACCAAATGTGCAGCAAAGTCAGTACAAACTGCACAGATTTCCCACAGTATCGCACTGCAATCACTCCTCTACCACAGAAGTGTGTGGGGTCTTGTGCACTACACTTGGGAGAACCAGGGATGGATCTGCACACCAAAGGCCAGCGGTGGCACTGGAAAAAAAGACCAGGAAAGCCCTAACTCCCTACCTTATAACTGTGCAGCCCTCACTGTCTCTCTGAAAATGCCTACATTTCCATACCAGTTGGTCTCTTCAGTAGCAGTCAACCAACTCTCCTCTGTCCCCTTCAGCTTCCCCAGTACCTCACAAAGCACCAGCAAAGGGCCATGTCCCTTAGATAGGGCCCACAGAGATAACAGAACTTGAACTCTTGCCTCCGCTTTTTGTTGCCCACAAGTTCTGTGACTTAAGAAAGCAGCCTTCTTTCCTTTTGAAACCTCTGTTTCAGCTCAAAATGGTGATGTGGCCCTGGTGCTAGGACTCAGCTGAGTTAGAGGCACAAGGGAAGGTGATAGAGCATCACTCCCCCATAACATGTTGCAGCAATCAATCTGCAGGTGAGCCCTGTTCGTAGGAGGTTTTGTGTTGCCTCCTGAATTGCTCCAGCAAGTAGCATCCAGGACAGAGGCTGGCATCAGTGTGAGAGGCAAGACTGCTGCCTCCGGCCCAGGGAACACATCCTGTGTGGGTTTGGGAGGCAGAGGAGCCTGGCAGCACCTTTTTCCAGCTGCCCCAAGAGGAGCACAGGCTGCCCAGCAAGGGTCCCCACCTCCCCCACCCCAGTGCCCAGCACACACTGGGAGAGCTCTGCACGCTCTGCCACAGACAGACACTCCATGCCAGGGGATGCTGCTGCCCACAGCACAGGAGAGAAAGCTGCCTGTCCTCCCTGCATAGGGCAGGGCATGCTGGTGCCCAGGCTCCTTGGGCTCCCACTCCCTGCAAGAGGAAAGCAGCTGCAGGCTGCATTGCAAAACTATGCGTGGGTTGCTTCTTGGCTACTCATGGAATAAGCAGCCACTGCTTCAGCTCTTCTAGGCTTTTGCTGCAAAGCCCGTGCCAGGGACGCTCCATTTGCCGTCCTCGACTCCTTGGCTCCACAGGCCATGCAGGGGAGGAGGAGGCTGCAGGGAAGGTGGAAGTCCAGGGGCTGTCAGTGGATCTCTCCTCATCTTTCCTCCACACAGTGTCTGAGCAAGCAGCTTAGAGCACATTCAGTGCTGTTATGCAGAGCTGGTGGGACTGCATGCCCACCCCCACAGGCACTGAGAACAAGCAGCTGCTGTAGGGCCAGCTCTGAGGTACCCCAGAGGGAAGGAGCTGTGCCGTTGGAGGGCAGCACACAGCCTAAAGACTCTCTTTGCTTCACAGCACATACAGCCATTTGAGTATTGCACTGTTTGGTGCATGACATGCAGGTACAGCTTTACTACAAGTGCTGCTTTAGTATAGGTATCAGGCCTGCAGCTGCAGCATCCTGACCACGTCCTTTTCCAGTGCTAGCACATTCCCAGCCAGCTGCAGGGCTTCTCTGGCTATTGCAGATCAAAAGCTGCTAAAGGAGTAGCAGACTGGGGCCTCAAACTGAGGGATTTCTGTTTGCAGCCAGTGGGAGATGCAAACACTCAACAGCAGTGAGGATAAAGAAGCCAGCTAAAACGTGAGCCGAGAACACAAGAAAGATGCTGTGCAGCACCAACGGCTCATGTCCACCAGAGATGGGAGGAAAGCAACGTACGGCCCTCTGATAGCAGTCTTTGGACTCACCTCGCTTTTCACAGGCTGGGGTCTCTTCCCAAGCTTCACCTCCAGGAAGTGGAGTGGTGAGATCATGGCCCCAATGTTGCGGATGTCGGCGTATTTCAGCTCCTCGGCTGTCAGGGCGGTGCCAGGCAGTCCCGTCAAAGGGCCGAGCCCTGGCAGTGCACCGGCCGTCAGGGACGGGTCGGGGATCTGCCCGGGCATCATAGCAGGGGCAGCAGCTCTGCAGGCTGGAGAGAGAGCAGGACATGGCCCGTTACTGCTGGCTCACAGCATGGCACACAATTCCATCAACAGAGGGGTGGCAGCAGGGCTAAGGGGCTGATAGTCGCCCTCTGCTCTGCCCTCCTGAGGCCCCATTTGGAGTACTGCATCCAGGCCTGGGGCCCCCACACAAGAAAGATGTGGAGCTGTTGGAGTGGTCCAGAGGAGGCCATGAGAATGCTCAGAAGGCTGGAGCACCTCTATTATGAGGAAAGGTTCAGGGATTTGGGCTTCTTCAGCCTGGAGAAGAGCAGGGAGCTCAAAGGCAGAAGGAAGACCAACTTTTTACATCTTCTGATAGCAATAGGACAAGGAAGAATGGCTTTAAAATAGAAGAGGGGAGAGGTTAGATGTTGAGGAGAAATTTTTTCATTCAGAGGGCAGTGAGGCTCTGGTATAGGGTGCCCAGAGAAGCTGTCTGTGCCCCATTCCTGGAGGTGCTGAAGGCCAGGTTGGATGGGGCCCTGGGCAGCCTGAGCTGGTGGGGTGGCAGCCCTGCACATGGCATGGAGTGGGGTTCAGGGGGACTTCAAGGTTCCTTCCAACCAAGCCTTTTTGTGATTCTTATTCTTATCCACATGGGAAGTGGCCATTCTTCCCTGGGGATGGCAAAGACAAGGAGTGAGCAGAGCCTGGCTGACAGAAATATATGAATCCTGAGAAGTAGGACATGCTACTGACCTGCAGATTAAGAGAAAAGACCTCAGAGGAAAAGCACCAGAGAAACACAAACTGGCTGCAGTGACTTACAGGATAAACAGTGATGTGGTCCCATGGACTATTGGTTTTGCCAGACCTTTCTCCGGAGAAAATCGTGATTTGCCCTTTACTGAGTGTTGGTGAATGAGTAGGTAGGTAGTGGACAAGAAGCAAATGGCATTATGAGAACCACAGCATGCCTTAGGCTGAGCGCCTTGGACAGGCTGAGCCTGCTGATTTGGGGCATGGCACACTGGGATCAAGGACAGAACAATGAAAAGCTGCTGAGAGAAAAGCCTGCTGCTGAGCAAACATCTTCCAGCACAAACACGAGGAAACAAAGGCTGGAGGGGAAGGGAAACGGAGCAAGGTGCAGAAAGCTTCTTCTATCAGAAAAGAAAAAAAGTACAGCTTGGGTGAAAATAGGACTGGAACAAGCTTTGGCAAGTCATTTATAGGCAGAAGAAAGCGGGTTACCAGGAAATGTGAAGAATGACTGGCTAAGAGCTGAAGAAATAAAATTAGATCTAAAATGAGAAGCCTGCAGAGCTGGAGCTGCAGTACCAGCCAAAAAGCAAAGGGAGCAGGTGGCTGTCGGCTACAGCATAAGTACGTCTCTGCTTGCGTAACAGGCGTGGGACACTCTCAAGTGACCCACTTACAACATGCAGAGTCACTTCTGTCCACTCAGCAAGCGTTCTTCTCCCACACCCTCAAAACAACCACATGTCACTGTGTTCCTGTGCTGCTCTGACCAGCCAAACTGATCCCAACACATGTGGGGCAGCAACACCATCCTGCCTGCAATAGGAAGCATAGGGACTCCAGCCTCAGCTCCCGGAGAGTCATGAAGACAGAGGAACTGTCTAACAAGTGGAACTAAGATCCCACAGAGCCTCCATTTGAGGCCAGTCACAACACAGGATTCAACAAGCATCTGTGGAAAGTGATGGAAGCTCTGACAGCAAACTGATAGAGCCAGGAGATGTGTTAAGCCCAGAGCAGTGTGCATTCACCCAGCTCTTTCTGAAGCATCTGCTTTCAGCTGCTAGGAGAGCAGGCAAGGGGCAATGCAGATGTTTGTTTCAGGCACCACAGCTGTGCTAAGCAAGCACACACATGCATTGCCAGGCCAGCTGCCACAGCTTCTCCGCACTGGCCATTCTGGGTGACAGATCTGTATTGCCACCAGACAGCAAACCCTTGCAAAGCTGTGTGTGAGACATGAGTGATGGATCAGTGAGTACAGAACAGCTGAGGAGGAAGGGACCTCTGGGGTCACCTAGTTTAACCCCTGCTAGAGCAGGGTCAGCAGGAGCAAGCTGAAGTGTTAATTACCAGAAACAGAGACGTTACAGATTTCTTGGCACTGGCACATCTTCCTGCCCAGGAGTTTATTTGGTGTATTAATTAATGTCAGGAAACAGGAGATGAGGAATGAATGGAAAGGAAGGACAACCATACAGGTTAGTCCAGAGCACAGAGGCAAATGAAAGCTGCACAGCTCCTAGCATAGGTGCCATACAAGCCATCCTTGTGTTACAGAGCAAGGGATTTGCATCAGAGAGTGCTCCTGCTATATGCTGTGAGCTGTCATATGCTCTAACCTGCCACCAAGGAGATTCAGGTGTCAGTGCAAGCTGTCCTGCAAAGCTCAGCAGGCAGCAGTGGGAATCAACAGGACTTGATAATCAGTGCAGTAGTAAGCAAATGCAGCAACATGGTTACCATAAAGAAGCAGTGGCATGCTGTGAGTGGGAAGCAAGCCCTCTGCTTCTCTGGTCATCCTTCAGAAGGGCAGTGCTGGTATGCAGGGGGAACGCTGAGCTAGGGGGAATCATCTGCACAGAGACATGTCAGCCTGACAAGAAGCAGGTGGGAGAGATAGGAGATGAGTAACTTCTGGAGGAAAGTGATACTACCTGAGAAACGGATTCCTGCCCATTTGGCCATAAAAGAGAAAGAGAAAATATCTGGTTGTGACATTTGACCTCAGAAAAGACCACATGTCAACTCAATGAGATTGCAGAGACCTAAAACAACCCAAAACAATAATTCTTCTGCAACAATCTCTCAAGCAGACAGCTGCAATTCCACGTTTGCAGTGGCTGCATTGCACAGTGCCAGGACACGATTGCTTGCAGTGCTACAAACTGCAGCCACCTCCCTGCCTGCCCTTTAGGCCCACATGCAGCTGAAGGCATTCAGAAAGAAGGCACCATCCTGCACTAGGCTGTGCTCCAGGCAGCCAAAGGCAAGGAGGTATGTGCCTAAATCCCTGTCATATGTCCTTCTCATTCACCCCCGACTTGAACAGTTTGGGCATAACAAAGAAATCAGTGGCAGAAGTACACAAATTTCAAAGCCTGCCTCCTGTAAATACTGCATGAGCTGCTTTAGCTCACATTAATCTGGGGCCTTGGTTCACCTTTTCATACGTCTCAGGCTGAGACCTGATTTGAGTCCAGCACTGGATGCTTAAATTCGATCTGGACTCAGTGGACCACATTTAATTCATTGCTTTGCATCACAACACACAGCCAATTGCACCTACATGCTGGGCTGGACTGCGCAGGTCCTCTGCTACACAGAATTCATGGTGACCATAACTTATGAGCTGGCTAATGATTGTGGAAAACATTGCATTTTATCTGATCCACCTTTTCCCTCTGCCTCTCATCTGGTGCCTTGAGACAGTCTGAGTGAAGGAGCTGGCCCAGTACCCACCTGACACTGAAAACTTATCCCAGACCCAGTTACCACACTGTCAAAGCACCATTGCATGCACATGCACATTTGTGTAAAGTAAGCCTGAACTTGTTCAAACGAAAGCATTAGTAACCACCTGGAAGAACGCAAACCTGCATATCAGAATGAGCTGAGAACTAAGTGAGAAAGAAGAAAATTACTCCCCTAAGTGAGATCCTGGTTAGGAGTCAGGAAGCTCAGGAGCACGCTGAGAAGTGCCAAGAGTCAATTTAGACCTTGGAGAGGAATGTAAATCATTCCCAGCAGGGCTGCAACCACAGAATACAGGAATGGAGAGACACCAACTCTGCAGAGCAGGGGCAGTGAGAACTAGCCCAGCACAGCCCCCAACCCAGACACTGCCACTCACTGCTGATCAAAGGGATTCTCTCCACCAACTACTTTGTTCCAACCCAAGTCTCAGATACTTCTTACCTCTAGTGTTATCCAGAAAAGGTGGGAGTTTTGCTTCAATCATGTTAAAAACGCCAAAGTATGTCATTTTATTTAACACTTGCTCTTATATTTCTGAAGCATTGCTCTGGAAGATGCTGATAAGCCTGCCTATAACTCCAGCGTATTTCTATGACATCCACATGTTAAGACAGAAAGAACAGCGCAGGATCTGAGTTTGACCTTCAAGCTGTAGTTTTTCAATAACCAGACTTTGCTGAACGTGAGGAATACAGCTGGTACACTGCCAGTCCATAATTCCTCTCTGGATATTTCCTTGCAGTGTTTGTTATTTCTAGGGAACAAGAACCAACTCACTTCTATGTTCCTCCACTTTCTAACACTGTGCTTTAGCTGGCATTCTTACTGGATCTGTTCTTCTCATAAATTATCATTAACACCAACTTTATTCTCCATACCAAGCAACCTTTCAGTGTCTTCTCACATGAAGAGAGAGAAGTTGTGCCATCAGTGACGCCTATCTTGCTGGTGTCCCACTGCTGAACCACACAATTCCTGCATTGCATCAGCTATGCACTTGCACATAATAAAGCCAACAGCAGAGCAGCGAGGGGAAAGAGAATGTGTGTAGTCTTATATCTGACACTGCAATCCACATGATGCCAGCTGTTCAAGTTTACATTCACTAGAGCTGCACGTTCTGCGCCAATGCTATTTATTATTGTGCCATAACATCTCAAGATGTTCAATAGTCGATGATGAGACAGAGGAGGCCTTCTTAGAATTCCAGCCCAAATGATGAGCAGCTTGTGTCATTCAGTGCTTGCTTCAGCAACTAATCTTACAGCACAGATCTGGACAGCACGATTCCATGGCTCAACATTCAACTCGTACTGCTTCAGCTCTGCTCCTACAATCCTCATCCCAGCAAGTGCTGTAACGGGGTCTGACCTTTGGCCAAATTGTCTGTAAACACTCCTAATTACCACAGTCACTTTTGCATCTTTGCTTTGGAATCGCTCTCTCTCTGATCTCAGACCCACACTCTATTGGCAAGTTCAGTTATTTTAGCTGTGCTCATATCTCTAAAAAGCTGACAGCAGTA